AAATTGTTAACTTATCACAGAAAAATTAACAAACATGAAATCTACACGGTTATCATTATCTTTTACATATATTTTGCAAGTTTTTTATGTATATTCCGCATTTGATTTTATTACAATAAATAGTATAAAATTATAATATTTTAAATTATCTAAAAATTACAGCTTTTTGAAATCCTGATGTTGACGTTTACTGATCCGAAGCATCGAATTGACGCGATGATCTTTTTTGTTAGAAATTTGATTGTATACAAAATAACTTAATATAATCAAGTTTAGTGCATCTTTTCGTTACTATTATATTTACTATTTGAAAACTTTATTACAAATGATGCAAATATATAATCATTTTTTCGGTAATCAGGTACCCCGTCAATTTGGAGGGCTTCCGTAGAGAAAGGTATATTACGTATGAATTCTAAAATTTAGAAAGTTTATAAAAATTATAATTGTATATCTAGTAATGAAATATAAATTCAGAACACAAGTTAAGTTAGTTAGGATTAGCTATGGTTTTTCGTTTAAAAGTTCGAATTCCTTCTATTTGACGTGTCCCGTAATCCTAGTGTTAATGTATTTATTACTGAACTCAGAAAATAAGAAATTTTTCTAATCTCCTATGACAATGTTGAAAATCTTACTAATAAAATATGTAGTAGTAGTGTAGTGTGCAAATAAAAGCGTCCGTTCTCGAGGCATAGCAGAGACCTTCTCAAGGCCGGCCGTTGCCCGATTCATCTGCTCGCGTCTTTGCGCGCATTCTAGTAAATAACTGCTCTGAACAATTCGCCAATGAACATTATTATTGCTATTGAATAGTTACGTACGTAACGTAAATTTTCAACTCGGAGCCTTCGTTCTCTCATCGCGGATTTCAATTATCAATCTTCTAATTTCTTTACATTACATCGTGTACGACTTTTGAAATATCATGTCTATTTCGAATAAAATGAGATCATTGTTTTTAGCTTAAGGGGGTATTCTAGTGTAGCGGCATGAATTTTAAGTCATTTTTAAATCATCGTAAAAAGCCATTTTTTTACTATTATTTATTTATCATTTTTTTTATCAACGTTACAAGAGCACAGAAAAAAAGTAAAAAAAAATAATAATTTTAAAAATTAGCAGTTGGCGAAGTAGGGGGTCAAAAAAAATTGTCACGTGACAGTGTCCACAATTGCAATCCTCTTCCTAATCCGAAATGAAAACTAGTGGTGTATGGCATAGTGCCTTAAGGCAAATTGCTGGAACTTCCCGTATCTTAATGAAATATTCGAAGAATATCAAATGGTTTCAAATAGATTATTATAATTATTTGAAGAATTCATTCGTGACGTGAAGATATTCAAAAATTTTCTTTTTCGATTTTTGGCCCATTATTATAACTACCCTACGGAAAGTTAAAAAAGATTATTAATTTAGAATGATGTCCCAATGGCATTTACTAGAAATAAGTTAATTTTTTTTTTTGACAAAATGGCGACTGTTTGAAAAAAAGACAATTTTCTTACCACTTTTTTGAGTTTTTCGATTTTTTTAAAAATATTAAAAATTTAAATTTGGGGATGCGACTAGTATATACCCGAGAAAAGTCTATAAGAAACATGCCCTGAAAATTTCAAGTAAATCGGTCCAGTAGAACTCGAGAAATCGCGGGCATCGTATTGAAAAAGACAACTTTAAGAAAAAGTTTTTAAAGTTTTGTAAAAGAAAGGAAACAGAAAAGGATTATCATGGTCAAACAGATGTATCTCCGAAAATAATTTAAATTTAAAAAAATCTACTCGCACACATATTCTTGAAAAATTAAACTATGAAAATATGAAAAAACAAAAAAACTATTTTTTGGAATTTCTATACTAGAATACCCCTTAAGGTGAATGTTTCTTGTAGATTTTGTAGAAAATTCCGATATCGTGTGGAAAACTGAAATACTTGAATACAAACTTTTTAGTTATATTAGTATTATTAGTATAATACTCGAATATTAGTAGTAAACTCAAGGATTAATAAATTTATGAAGAACAACACTTGAACGGTTGAGGTTGTTTGATGAATAGAAATGAGTTTGGAAAATGTATAATACCCTAAAAAATCCAAAAATTTGATATGCACATCTTTCAATGATCAGTTTTGACGCTTTATGACCATTTTTTCCACCATTTTCTCCGTATTTTATTTTATTCTTATGTAACTTGTTTGTAATAATCTTAATCATTATCAAAAATTTGCATTCATTTATCTCATTTCCAAAAAGGTTACTGTCTGAATATTAGCAATATCGCTTCTTTATATATTTTTTTAATACATTTTTATAGATACTGGTTTTATAACAGCTGCAATCACGCATAGTATAAAAAAGTTCAATAAGTTATAAATTTTATTGGGCATTTATAACGTCGATGGTTTTTAAATCTGGTCATACAGTTTTAACAGTAAATGAAGAACACATGAAATTTAGCATGTTCACTAAAGATTAATACTGTACAGTTATAATTAGGTGTTTTATGTGATTGTCTAAATACAAGACTGGTATTGATTGCTATGAAACTACCATTCACAAACTTGGGAAGTCGGATACATTATTGCACTATGGGAATGAGTATAGTCAAAAGTTGCGATAATTTTTACATTGAGTATTTTTACATCCGCAAGTTTTGCGGGTTCAGGGTCTCATTTTTTGCGAAAAAAATTATATGAATATATTGTCAAATTAAGGATTGCTAGTTTACATACGAATTACTATTACTTTTTTTCATGCTATACAACTTTAATATGATTTAAGGTAATAAGTACTATTTAAGAATGAAATAAAAACCAATTTAAATAAATCATTTTTTGAATAAAAATTATTTACTTTCAGTTAGATCTATAATATTCGATTATGATGTATAAAATCTCAATATTTATTTGGTTTTAAGCCTTGTATAAAATTTTAATTCAAATTTCTTCATAATTAAATTAGTAAATATTGCACTTGTGCCAGACAGTCAAGTTCGTTCTCATAATTTTTGCTATTTTATATACAATTGAAAATAGAAGTTCGAAATTTTTAATGTGAGAGGCTATTTTAATCCGACTCTGGAATTTTGACTTCGGCAACGTTTGTGTGATATAAGCATACTCGTCGTATATATAATTTTCAGATATTTCATGGGAAATTCTAATTTTATTATAAAGTAATTGCGAAGATTCAATTGAACCTATACTTTTCGAAAACTCGGGACAATCCGGGACAAAAGTTCCAAATCCGGGACAGTTATTGCTCTTAGAAAAACTCAGGACACTAGGTTGTAATCTGGGACAACAAACACGAATCAACGGATTTAAATGATCCAAAAACATTCGGTTCCAATTCATGAGGAGACGCGTTGCTGATTAGTTTTTGATAAAGCAGGTCGAGCCGTTTTGAAAATACGGGACAAAAAGTGCCTAAATAGGGTAGTTCGATTTTTGAGAGAACGGAGAGCCGATTTTAATAATTCAAAAAACATTTTACTTGTATTGACAAAATGAATAACTGATTAAATTTTTGGGAAGACAGGTCTAGCGGTTTCAGAGATCCAATAAAAAAATGAAATAGGCGGACATAAATGATGATTAGACATATGCACATTAAATTTTCAGATATTTTATAGATATTTAATTTTTTTTATGTTTTATTTGACCTCGTTCTACACATTTAGTCATATACAATATATCTGACAAAACTAAATTATTATCTAACTAATCTATCAAAATTTAATGACTAATTCAGAATATTTTATAAATTCATATAATATTCTATATCATCCTTTAAAATGCGACGCGGCGCTTACGAGCTTCAATATTTCGTCTTCACGCAGCTAAAGCAGCGCGATTACTTTAAAAAAAGTTGAAAATTTTCAGAAAATTCAAAATATATCAAATTAAATAAAGAGTGCGAGTAAGGTTCACACGCGATTGATGTAAAACTTATTTGCTACTGTACAAAGTAGCAAATTTAAGTTAAGTAAAAATTTTGAATAATGTTTATTAGTAATAGTGATGCACACATTTATTAGTGTCAACCATTATACACATTTTTATAATGATAAATTTCAAATTATATATTTATAATAGCATTAAAAATATGTATAATATTTAAAACCAATAATGTAATTAAAGTCATACTTCAAATATGACACGATCGGTTTGTCATTGTAATTAGCATTTAGAAATGAACCTTTATTAGAGAAACAAAGTAATTGCTGATTAATAAATTCTATAATATTTGTTCACACAGTGGATTTAAACAACGCCTAAACAAATATTGTTTTTGCTACTTTACTCATCATGTAATTGTGTTTGGAGAACTTCGTGTAGTTAAAATTAACATACATTAATTGACTACTTGCATTTTTTTACTTTTTTGCTGGCGATATAATCTCATTCTTTGAACAGCTGTAATATCTGTCCTGCCTAAAAAATATTTTCTATTATAATAACTTCAAAGATTTATAGAAACTACGAATAATATAGAAATAATTTCTAATCAATTAATTTAAATGTTTAATTTGTTTTATTATTTTCAAGGAATAGGGTAAAATATTCTTCTGATTCAGGCATTTTTCATTGAATCAAGATTTGTATTACGATGTAACTTTAAAATGTTTAGAATGTATTTATCTATGCCGATTTGCTTGTTGATATCGGTACGCATACAACGTTGACGCCGGTACGCATACAACGACAGATCTCTATTCACATACACGACGACTAATCACAATCGACCTGTATTTAAATGATTTCATCGAGGGTGAATGACGTACAGTTCGGGCGTAACGCTATTTCCGTTGCATTTGTACGGATTTACACCCTAGTCGCGCCTAAAGAAGTTTTACTTCAAAATCAAAATTCTCAGAAATATAAATTTATAAATGCCATGCTCCACTAGTTTCATGAATGCGATGTAATTGTGTAAAGTAGCGATTTGTTTTGTTTACGACTAACCGATGCCGAATTTCACCTTGCTGCAGATCGCCGTGGAGAGGTTCAAGAGCGCGCTCTGGGCGTCGCGCTGGAGATGGCTTCGCAGATGCTGGACCGTTGCGTAACTCTGATATCCGCGCAGGTCAGCTCGCCACGTCTTTTCGTGCCTCCAGATGTACAAGTCATGTTACCTGCACTCAAGGTCAGTTTTTGTTTCTACCAACAATTATTTTGTACAGTTTCAACATTCTGGATATTTATGATTTCTTCCTATAATACTTGCGCGCGCTTCAAACGAATACTATCGAGTAAGATTCTATCATGCGAGATGTGCTCAAGATCAATTGCGCATTATTCGGTGTTCATTAAATTGATAGAGTGAAATTTGATAAAAGCTTTTAGATGTTTCAGACATGTTCTGATTTCGTTTTTGTTCGTGTAACTTTTAAGTATGGCAATTTGTATAGCAACATTACGAAAATTATGATTCAAAAAGATTAAATAAGGATCGTACAGTTCTTTTTGTGCAATGATTTAAGTAATTTTATCTGCTTCAAATAATTTTTTATATGTATATTGTTTGTTAACGAACTGTAAGCGTTTAAAATTAAAATAACATCATTCTTCATCCGAGCAAACCGCCTGCAAATTGAATCTGTACAACGTGCCTAAACGACAAAATAAATGTTCTTTATTATATTATATCCATTTATTCAAATTTTAAATATTTTTTCACCATATTAATTCTTTGACTATAATAGCAGTGTATTTAACAATTTAGCTTAGCTGTTGGATTTTCATTTTGTGGGGTTCCATTTAGTATATCCAAATATTGATAAATAAACTTTTAATACGTTAAACATACCAGTATTCGAAAATATGATATTTATAAATAATAAATATCTCTGAAAATATTTAACGGGTCCGCTAAACTGTTTTTTGACTAGTTGAAATAATTAAAACTGCATAATTTCTCAAATTCTTATTTTTTAAGGAAAGCGCTAAGATGAAAACTGTGTATTCATATTTTGAGAATTTTAATTATAAAATGTTTTAGGGCGCAGGATTTTTTTTTCCTTATTTTTTAATAAAATATGAGATGGCGGTCTCGTTTCATACATTATTTTTGTCAATTTATCAAGTTTTAATGATTTTCTTCAAAATCAGTTCAGCGCTTCTTAGAATTCTAAATTGAATTTTTAATCTTTAATTTGTTTTTTTGTTGTTCAACTTTTTATAATGGTCAATTTATAAAATATAGAATCTTTAATGTTTTTTAAATTTTCCTATTTCTGGTTGCTAGTTTGGTTTCTAATTTTTCATTTTTATAAGGTTTTATCTGAAAAAAAAATAGTAATAAAATTCTGAAACATTAGTTTTTCTAAAACTGATGTACACTCTTTCTCATTTTATATATGTATATATATTTAAAAGCTTTAATTTTTAACTTCCCGTAGGGTAAGTTATAGTAATCGCAAAAAAATCGAAAATGAAATTTTTTATATATCTTTACGTTTCAGAGGTTTCTGAACATTTTGGCATACCTTAGAAAAAATGGATGTATGTGTGTGTGTGTGTGTGTGTATGTATGTATGTATGTATGTATGTATGTATGTATGTATGTATGTATGTATGTATGTATGTATGTATGTACGTGTGTGTATGTATGTGCGGATACAAATTTTCGTCGACGATTTCGGGAACACGGATCAACCGATTTGAATAATTCAAAAAACATTCGATTCGTATTGATAAGGAGACGTGCTGATTAGTTTTTGGCGAAGGCAGATCCAGCCGTTCCGAAGATACGGGGCAAAAAGTGCCAAAAACAGTACCTCCGTTTTTAAGAGAACGGAGCGTCCGATTTGAATAATTCAAAAAACATTTTACTTGTATTGACAAGATGTAGAATTGATCAAATTTTCATGAAGGCAGGTCTAGCGGTTTCGGAGATCTAATGAAAAAAGTAAAAAAAAATGCCATTCGGCGGTTAAAAATGATCATTAGACATATGCACATCAAATTGTCAGATATTTTATAGAGATTTTAACAATGAGTATAATTTTTTTTTACATTTCTGTGGGTTCCGTACCAATGCTTATGCGTTAGACGGCGGCGCGGCACCTGCGAGCTTTGACATTTCGTTTCTATGCAGTTCAAGCAGTGCGATTGCTTTGAAAAAAAGTTCAGAATTTTCAAAATATGTCAAAATGAAGAAAACATTTTTTTTCAAAAAAATTTTTTGTTTTCAAAAAAAAATTTTTTCTCAAAAAAAAATTTTTTTTTCAAATAAAAATTTTTTTTTTTTGAAAAAAAAAAGTATTTTTTTGGCAAATTTATAGTTTCTCAAAAATCTATTTTTTTCGAAGTAAATTTTTTTCAAAAATGTTAATCGTTTTTAAAAAAATAATAATTTTTGGTACGGGAAGTTCCAGCAATTTGCCTTAAGGCACGATGCCCTAATTGCCTTAAGACAGAATTCCACTTACAGCTAGTTTAACATTTATTTATTAATAGTATGTGCTCAGTTACTATATTTGTAAATAATTTAAATCTTTTTTTTTTATACTTGGGATTTAATTTTTTAACTTCCCGTAGGGTAAGTTATAGTAATCGCAAAAAAATCGAAAATGAAAATTTTTATATATCTTTACGTTTCAGAGGTTTCTGAACATTTTGGCATACCTTAGAAAAAATGGATGTATGTGTGTGTGTGTGTGTGTGTATGTACGTGTGTGTATGTATGTGCGGATACAAATTTTCGTCGACGATTTCGGGAACACGGATCAACCGATTTGAATAATTTAAAAAACATTCGATTCGTATTGATAAGGAGACGTGCTGATTAGTTTTTGGCGAAGACAGGTCTAGCCGTTCCGAAGATACGGGGCAAAAAGTGCCGAAAACGGTAACTCAGTTTTCAAGAGAACGGAGCGTCCGATTTGAATAATTCAAAAAACGTTTCACTTGTATTGACAAGATGAAAAATCGATAAAATTTTCATGAAGGTAGGTCTAGCGGTTTCGGAGATATGGAGGAAAAAGTAAAAAAATGAGCCATTTGGCGGTCAAAAATGATCATTAGACATATGCACATCAAATTATCAGATATTTTATAGAGATTTTAACAATAAGTATACATTTTGTTAACATTCCTATGGGTTCCGTACCAATGCTTATGCGTTAGACAGCGAAGCGGCGCTTACGCGCTTTATATTTTGTCCCTATGCAGTTAAAGCAGTACGATTGCTTTGAAAAAAAAGTTCAGATCTTCCACAATATGTCAAAATAAAGAAAAAAAAATTTTTTTTCAAAAAAAAAAAAATTAAAAAAAAAACTTTTTTTTCAAAAAAAAGTAATTTTTTGTCCAATTTATAGTTTCTCAAAAATCTTATTTTTTCAAAGTAAATTTTTTTCAAAAATGTTAATCGTTTTTAAAAAAATAATAATTTTTGGTACGGGAAGTTCCAGCAATTTGCCTTAAGGCACGATGCCTTAATTGCCTTAAGACAGAATTCCACTTACAGCTAGTTGAAATTTGGTTTTTACTTCATTCTTTCGAGTACTGTTAGAACTATACCTGTCAATAGTGGGTTTTGTAGATAAAAAAATTCTGTTGATTAAACACAGTAATTAGCAAGCACTGTATACTCAAAAATATGTGACTATCCTTAGTATCTGAAACTATCAAATAAAAAAGAAATTTGTTAGTTATATCATTAGATAGACATTTTGACAAATTATTTTATTTCATTATTAGTGGATCTACATTTTGGTGAAATTAAAGGGAGAACTGTTATAAATGCCGGAACATAAATATATTGCGTATGCATATAAGATTATTTACAAAAATGTATATAAACTTACCCGAAGAAAAAACAAAAAAAATGTACATACAAACATTATAAAATTAATTAATAATAATAATCATTATGTACATTTCAACATACTTGGCATTAACACGTAGTACTAAAACTGTCAGTAATTGCGGATTAATTAGTAATTTTAATGGTAATGAATTTTAAGACTGGCTTAATCGATACATGTAAGGAAAGGTCAGTGTATTATTTTTTCATTTGATTTAATGCCATCAACTATTTTATACATATATTTTAACGCCAAAATTAAATTACATTCTGTATAACTTATATATAACTACATATCTATAATTCTTAATTAGATATGTATATTATATATATATATATATATATATCAATGTATGTGTATGTGTATGTGTTCATATATTTAAATTTTTTTGTATATAATTTTGAATTTGATATTGACATACGTTTAACAAAGTCTAATGATCGCGCGTAACATCAGTAAAAATACATATTTTTTTATAAGTATAATAATACTAATATTTATTATTTATTTGCAACCATATCTGTTATAATATGTCCGAATATTGCATTAAATTTATTAGCGCAATAATATGAAATAACTACTAGTTCTGTTCACTGTATGATTTGATTGCAAACTAATTGGCAAGTTAATTTTAGTAATGTAAGGTGTAGAAATTTTACTAATGTAGCTTTTAGTAGTACACGACTAATATATTTAATTGCCACTTATGAATAAACATTTCCATAAGGTTAGTAATTGCCAATATTTTATTACTCAATATAAATCTTTCTAAATGTTATTTTAAAATAGCTAATTGAATATTTAGACATAACATGACACGATTTTCTACTATAACTATATACTATAACGATAGAATTAATTCTTATTTGCTCATATGAATGAATGAACTTATTATCGGGTTCATGATTTATATATATATATATATATATATATATATATATATATATTCATATGCATATTCATTATGTAATAATATTATCATATAACGGCAGTTGACATGTTAATATTATTACACCATTATCATTTTAATCTATTTTTTATATAGAGATTATAAAAATTTAATTTTAAATATTTTAACCGATACGTTATGAATGAATATCAAGCTGAATACGGTAAATATATTTATATTTCGATTGATATCAATACTATTGAAGTAATTAAAAAACAGTCAAACTTAGTAATTTAAATATGACAGATCTTTGGAATATTTAGTTTAGTTTAGAAATTTAATAATTTCAATACGATAGTTTTCATACCATGAATACTAAGGCGGGGCTTTAAGGTCCACCGGTAAGAAAATCCACCACCGATATCTCAAAAACAATTAAAGAGTTTTTTTAATTTTAAGCAATTTTTCAAGAGATAAGTTGAATAAATAGTTATTCCAACTATGCTGATGATTATTTCTGACGAAATAGATCAAGTTTATATACAGTGTTGTCGCTGTAAAAATGTACCCATGAAATTTATATTTTGCATGGGTTGAATAATATAGATATTATTTCGTAAAATCCCTTCAAAATTAAACCATTTTACCCCGCCTATAGGGTAAAAAGGACTAGGCGACAAATTTTTAAAAAACTGCAGAAAAACACATTTCTTTAAAATTGAATTTCTTTAAAATATTTTGTTGTGCTTGGTCCGTTCAGTAGCCGTACTGGACGACTTGCTTTTCTGTGCAGTGTCACTCCTACGGAAAACACTTTCGTAGTCAAAGGGTTAATTTTGACTTCGACCACTATTCTATATTAAAAACGGCAGAGATACGAAATAAAGAACCATAAAATTACTGGAAAAACTACTGCATGGTCAAAAATGCTTTATGAAGTAGGAATGTGTATTTACTGATGGCTATTAACACATATTCCAAACATGGATATAATATAATATTGTCGGATGTGGTATATCTTTATTTAAATCTACAACCACATAACCACTACATACATAAATTTACTGCAAGATATATTATGCTAGCTGTGTATATCGATACAGGAATGTTGCAGCGCCCATCACATCAATCAAATTCTGGCAGTAAAATAAATAATTACGATATGTTACGATACACCAGGGTTCCTATAAAATTATTTAACTAAGGCGTTCGATAAATTTGAATGATTCTAAGAACATTCATTTTCTTTTGATAGGGTGACATGCTTATTTTTGGCAAAAGTTGTTCCAGCCGGCTCGGAGATTCAGATAAAAAGTTTAAATAAATGCTCTTTGGCGGTCGAAAAACAGATATTTTGCAATTTGAACCAATGGATATGAATGGGAATCCAAAACTTCCAAGAAATTTCAAAATTTTCAAAAATAAAAATCCAAAAAGAATTATGAATCATCAGATTTTTCAATAAAGGCAATTTTTATATATTCAAAATTTTAAATTGTTTTTAAAATTTTCAAAAATGTTTCAAAAAAAAATAAAAATTTGCTAAAAAAATCTAATTTTTCTTTTCTGAGCTTTTATAAAATTCAAATTACGGTACTGGGAGTTTCAGCAATTTGCCTTAAGGCATGATGCAATACACACTAGTTTTATTATTTATTTCGATTATTTACTATATACATTAACATTTATTATCAAGCTGTTTTCATTTTTTATTATTTCAGGTCTTTTGCGACTGGTTACTATGTCATATCAATATTTGGAACCCACCGCCATTCTCAAGGGATTTACGAATTGCGTGAGTAGATAAATATTTTGCAACATTAAAAAAGTTAGAGTTGATCAATAATGTTGAAGATTTATTTCTGTTATTATTTAATTCTATGAATTTAGAAATATGATTAACTGAATCCTTATTCAGAACGTTTGAATAAATTTTAACGGATATAGTTGTTTGGTTACTGTAATAGATTTTAATAAGATATATATTTTTTAAATATGATATGATATTCTTTTGTCCCACAATTCTGGTATTTATAATCTTAATACCTAATAATTGACTTCGCTTTCGTTGCTGACCATGAAGAGGAAATCTATATGATACATATTTTATTTTTTTTGCTATCGTTTATGTTAAAATTTGTAAGTAATGTATAATTTATTTTTGTATTGAATTATTCAAATTTTGAATATTAAGAAATTATGCAGTATTGAAAGAGCAAATTATTTTTCATGCATTGCTTTCTTTGGGTACTTCTGCAGATCCTTGTATAAAGTATATATAACCATAAGAAGTAGCTTTATAATTCTCAACATGTTTGGTTCGACTTTCGATGATTTTATTATTTAATTAGAAGTAGTTAGTATTAAATGAATTATGCTCATTTAATATTTTCCAATCAATCGCAAATAAGAATTGGCAGAATTTTTTGCTCTGAAATCATTACAATAGTGCCAATATTGCTCAATTGCCAATAGTGTGATCAAATCTTTGCATGCGAGAGATTCTAAATTTTTATTGATTACTTGTTTATTTAGTCATTTTTTTTTGAAAATATTAAATTCAATTTCAGCTCCACGGTGGACATGTGGACTAAATTAGCTGATTTAATTGGGTTATTAGAGCAGTTGGATCACAAACATGCCCTCCTGACTTCTGAGGTTAAAGAAGGTAATGCGAATTTATTATATTACATATATGTATATGTATGGGGGGTCGTTGGTTCGGTCTCCGCCCTGGGCGTTTTTTTTGAAAATATAGATCCAAAATATGTTCCCAATTGAAAATGGCATATTTCGGGCACTACGTGTGGAATGGCAATGGGAAATCTTTCCCAGAATCGACCGATTCACTTTTATTATGAAACATTTGCAACATTTCTATATTAGAATGGTTAGTCGTTAGTAAAATCATTAATTCAAATATTTTATCCTTCAAATTTATATATTTACACGAGGCACGATAGAGTTTACTAACAATAAGTTTGAGATGACGTCACTTTTACTCATCATCAGAGCATTTGTGTGCGAAATCAAAACCACTCGTTATATCTCAATCTCAATGAAACGAATTCCAATATCTCTCTATACATGAAGGTGTAATCATAGGCATTCTCTATTGTTATTTGTACGGCATACGAGAGTACTTGTATATCGTCTTGAGCTTACAGTAGTTATCCTAATTTTCTATAAATAAGTCCTAAATAGACTATAAATAAGTCTTTTTACAATTGATTTATTTATACTTATATATTTATGGTAAGAATCAAGTAACAATAATAGTCAAATTTATAACTATAAGAATTATGTATTTATTAAGAAGCTAGTGATTAAGGTCATTATGGTGAGTTTATGCATTTAAATTTAAATACTGAATAATGCATATTTTTCGCTGATTGGCTTTTTGTTTGATTCTAATGAGCTCACATATTTTGCATACCTGTTCTTCAACACTGTTTTTTTCATCATTTGAATATGGTGAGAATTCGGAGGCTCACATTTTAATATCCTAAGATATACTTGTTGTATTACAAATTTTGATTATTGATGCATTTATTGTAGAAAATGTTACAAAAGTATGTATTTGTCTCTCTCTCTATTACACCCAAAATTCAAAAAGTGATATAGCTGCTGTAATCTTAATGTGCAAAATTTAAAATTCTGGTTAAGTATGCCGATAGGGGCATGGACTAGATATTTCAATTGAATGATATTTGCAGTACAGGACTATTCTAATCCTTTTGCTATGGCAGTGCTTTCCGCAGGAGAGACATTGCTGTAGGAGCTAGCCAATCAAGTATTTGTAACACAAAATATTTTAAGACTTCATTCAAATGTATTTTAAAGTTTAAAATGACACTTCTAAAAAACTAAAATTTACAAAAATAAATTACAATTCAGAATTAATGCGGATGTTGCCTATAGTCGGCGCTGGTATCGAAAGGGTTGAAATAGAGAACTTCGGATAAATCAAGAGTATAAAAAAAAACAAGCATTCAATATTTTTAAATTATTTATACTTATTTGAATACTATTGATACTATAGCTAACTAGAAAACTAGTTGCTATTTCTAAAATCTTGAGCATAAAGAATCAGTCTCGGACGTTTTTAACTTCCCGTAGGCTATAGTAACCGCACAAAAATCGAAAATGAATTTTTTGTGCATATCTTTACGTTTTGAAAGCTATAGTAACCGCACAAAAATCGAAAATGAATTTTTTGTGCATATCTTTACGTTTTGAAAGTTTCTCAACATTTTGACATGCCTTAAAAAATGGATGTATGTAAACAATTTAAAAGGCAGTCGATTCATATTGATGGGGAGATTTGCTGATTAGTATTTGACAATGGAAGGTCCAGCTGTTTCGAACATACGGGCCAAAAAGGGCCTAAAATATTTATCAGTTTTTGAGAGAACAACAAACATTCTATTTGCATTGACGAAACGAAGATCTGATTAAATTTTTGAGAAGGCAGATGTAGCGGTTTTGGAGATCCAATGAAAAAGTGAAAAAAAGCCATTTGGTGGTCAAAAATGATTATTAGACATATGCACATCAAATGATCAGATATTTTATAGAGATTTTAAAAATAAGTATGTTTACTTTTCTATGGGTTCTGTACCAATGTTTATCCATTAAACAATGACGCGGCGCTTACGCGCTTCAATATTTCTTCTGTAAAACAGCTATGCAGCACGATTGTTCTGAAAAAAAGTTCAAAATATACAAAAAATTCTAAATACAAAAAAAATATTTTTTTAAAAAAATGAAGTCGATTTTTTTCAAAAAAGAAGTCAGTTTTTTTTTTAATTTTCTAAATTCTCAAAAATCTAAATTTTCAAAAGTTTCAAAAAATGTTAGGTGAAGTTTCAGCAATTTGCCTTATACAATTTCGCGAATGAGCACTTTAAGAGAATAGAAGAATAAATGTGGACATATTATTTACAAGTATGTAACAGAAGCATTTGATTGAAAGAAGACAATTGTAGGTCTTTTCGCATTGGCCCTCGGAAATATCTGATACCGATAATCCCGACTTTGATCAGCATTCGAATTACTATAATCGTATATGCTCGCGCGAATATATTGATATGTGCGTATGCCGTATGCCTTACATGCCGTACGGTATGGTCTCATCGAATACGTTTACGTGTGCGGTAATGTTTCCGCCCGTCCGTGGTTTGCGGTCCGCGGTCCGTGCCGTGGTCCGGGGTCCGGGCTGCGCTGCCGTGTTCGAGAGCAATGCTGCATGGCGTCATATTATAGGTCAAGAGTTCTTAGGTGGAGTTCAAGTGCAAACGGTTTTCTACATTCTGTTGTCATAAGCATAGTTTTACTGTGGTGTAAATTCTAATTGTATTGTACGATTACTATATCTATACGTTTCTATTGAAATACTTTGTATGCACACGTTGCATACATACTTTATTAACATGAAATGCTTTTCAGATTGCAATTTTCTTGTTTATCACAATTACAGCATTTACTCCTTTCAGAAATTTAATTAAGTTACATTTTTCATACTTAAAATATACAGTATATCTTCAACACAGGACCTATTTATTATAAAAGTACTTTGCAATTAAGGGGGTATTCTACTGTAGAATTTTGAAAAAATCGAAAAAAATTTTTTTTCATATTTTCAAAGTTTAGTTTTTCAAAAATATGTCATTAAAAGAATTTTTCAAAATTACTATTATTTCCTGAATTATAGCCGTTTTAGTGACGTTGCCTCGGTTCGGGTCCGACCGACTGCAAAACTTTGAACGCGTTTTTCTCGGAACTACTTTTTTCGAGCTGGCGATAAGGATATCTCGAGTTCTAATGAACCGATTTACTTCAAATTTGGAGAGGATCTTCTCTATATATCGCTTTATGGCGTGGACCTTGCCTAAAACTATACTTTAAACTAAACTTTTCATTTAGTATTTTAAAAAAATTCGGAATTGTTTAAAAAACATGAAAAACAATTTTTTTTTTTTCAAACTGCCGCCATTCAAACAAAAATTTTTGTTTTAACTTATCCAAGGGTCATACGATAGCGGCATCTATAATAATTAAGAATCCATCTATTTTTTATGTTTTAGATCACCAGGAGGGTTCGAATCATGCACGCCAGGACACCCTCTTTTTTTTGAGCCCCCACTTTGACTGCTAATAACTTTGTGAATTTTAACTTTTCTTTTTTTAAAATTTTGTTTATGTAATAATAAAATATCAATAAACAAATGATAAAAAAATCGATAGTAAAAATAGTATTTGTTTCCTTTATACAGCGCTTCAAAAACCGGGCGAAATTCATGCCTCTACAGTAAAATACCCCCTTAATTTGCGCACTCTAGTTAAGAAAGTTGAGCATTTTATATAAATTAATTATGAGGGAAAAACATGTTTAAAAAAAATAACACAATATTTATTTCTTTAATTTGCATTTCAACTTGTTCACTAGTACATGACTGTGTTCAGAAAACCCCTTCCCCCTTTTTTTGCTGTTTTTCAAAAATTGTCACCTGTTCCTTTTTAACCGCATACGCGGGGTAAAATGGGACCTGCTGGGGGCAAACAGGTCTTATTTTTAATTTTAAAGAGTAGCTACATTATTTAACCAATTCAAAAGATAAGTTTCATATGTACATTTTTTACAGAGATAACACTGTATATAACCTTGATCTGGTATTTTGTCAGAAATATTTATTTATTTATTTATTGTTTATTATTTACACCTTTAGCAAATAATTTTTAACATTATTTTTACAAAAATTTTGTTTCTTTTTTTTATTTTTTTTTTAAATTTCAAAGAATTAAAGCTCTAGACGGATATGAAGAAGAGTTATCTCCTCATACATAATTAATTTTGTATATATTCAACTCTAATATGTATTTGATTAACCTAACAATAATGTTTATTAAATTAAATTTAAATCTTATTAACTTTTTTTCTAACTATGAACTTTATATGTAAGTCTAAGTGCGTAAAGGCCTTTAGTAATCGATAAATCGGTACTTAATATGTGGTTATCAAGTAATTAGTTTTTTTATTGAGGCTTGAGGTTGTGCAAACATTTATGGCATTTACAAAACATTTGATAATTACAATAGATACCTTTAAAACAGACAATAAAGCAAACATTTTTTCGACTATTCGCGTGGAGTTTTGTAAATGTTTATATGTATTTAATTTAGGGTACGCGTCACCAACAAATTGCTGGAAATAATAGTGTATTCATTCTTTAATATGTATTTAATTTAGATAAATTTTATAACAAATAATTAAATAAATAAAAAAGATAAATATATAATATATATATATATATATATATATATAATTGTCTTAATAAATGTTTTTCTTGATGAAATCTTGAATATCGAAAACATTGCAGATTATGAAAATTGTGATTTTTGTTTAAATTTGAAAGTTTTTGAATATACTGATATTTTTTGAAAACTTAAAAATTTAATGAAAACTTGGAAATTTTGAAAACTAAATTTTATCGTTTTTTTTAAATTTTGAAATTTCTTGAAAGTTTGTGACATCCATTCATGCCGGTTAATCCATTCTCTGGAAAATATCTGATTTTTGACCGCAAATGGCATTTTTTAAAACGTTTTTTTTGAATTTCCGAAACCGTTGGACCTGCCTTTGCAAAAGTTCAATCAATTCTTCATTACGTCAATACAAGTCATATGTTCATCGAATCATTCAAATCGGATACTCTGTTCTTTCAAAAACTTAATTTTTCATTTTCTGTACTCTTTGCACCGTATCTCCAAAAGGGCACGTCTCCTTATCAATAGGAATTGAATGCTTTTTGAATATTTTAAATCGATTGATCCGAGCTGCCGAAAATGTGCAGGAAAATTATATCCACACAGCTGCCAAAATGTTCAGAAACCCTCGAAACGTGAAGATATGCAAATAATTTTATTTTTGATTTCTGGACGATTACTTTAACTAACCTTACGGGAAGTTAAAAATTTTTACTTTTTTTATAAGTAATATGATTCATATTCCTAATATTTGTTTATGAAACGGGAAGTTCTACCTTGTGTGTCAAGGTATAATTAATCGGCATTAAAATCCAACAATAATTCAAATAGATAATAAATTAACGTGCTGTTAAATTGATTGGTTTCAGGGCACAGCATCGTCCGTCTTCAAGAAGATGTAACCCTCTGCGGGTTCATGCCCTTGATGTATGCGGCTCCCGAGGACGTCTACGCGCCCGACACTATTGATCCCGAAGCGGCTCAGGTCGCGCTGCGACTACACAAGGTACGAGTACGATACGAGCGCTGACACAACACCCTGACCAGGGCATAATTAACGTCGACGTTATTATAGGAATATGACGACGTTTTCACTTTCATCTCACGGTTTAATTAACTTCAATAACTTTGACGCGAAGTTATTCAAATCGCGAAAAAATCGAATTAAAACTTTTCTCGATAATTGGAATAGAATTTATGTATTTGTGAATATAATGTGAATTTGTGAAGTACGAGTATGTATTTATGTGGAGTATTTTGTCTAGGATCCTGCCACGTTTTCCGGAAAATAGAACAAATCAAATGGAGCAGCATGAACCATTATTTAGTCAAAAATGACTACATGATATTACATATACAGTACAAACAGTGGTGTTGTGCTCATTTTATTCTTCTAGCAGGTTCGTTCCGGTTTTTGTTCTAGCTTGATGTCGCTTTTATAATAATGCATACAAAAAATCGTTAAAAATAAAAAAAAAATCAGCATTTGTTTTTAATTTTTTGTTCAATATGTAAGTCAATGCTCGTTATCAGAAATCAGTACCGGAACGCGTTTCTGTCCAAAGAGGGAGACGACGTTCCGGAGCGTTCCGGAGCGTTCCGGATCGACAACACCACTGAGTACAAATGTTTAAATAAAGTAAATTTTGTTAAAATATTAAAAATATTGAAAATTCTTTGAATAATTTGAGATTTGAAAATAAATCTAATTGATATTGCTCATAAAAAAATCAATCCTTTTGTTTCGATCGTTAAAATTACTTATTTATTAAGAGTTTATATTGAATTTTAATGTTGATTCTAATAGGTAAAAGCCAATGCAAATAATTTTAACTTATATTTGCTTACATTATGGAAGTCATATTGTTAGAATGTGTAAAAAATATGCATATGTCAAATACTTATATAAATAATTTGTTCTGTTTTCCCAAAAATGTGGTAGATCCTTACATACATCCTTATACATATACACAAACAAGTGTACATATCTATATACATACACGGTATATATATATATATATATATATATATATATATATATATATATATATATACAGATTCTGTACATACATACTTAATTTCGATTTTTTTCAATTTCTTTGCGATTTTTATAACTTATTTTCGGGAACGGGTATCCGTTCTATAGATGAAACATTTTATTCCAACATTCGTACGTAGTACGATCATAATCCTTATAATACACGTGTATAAGGTCTATGAGTACTATGCACGTAATGATTCATATATGTACATGATCAATATACATATATTTTTCATTTTTTGCGATTTTAATAATCTGCTTTCATACAAGCTAATAAACTATTTTTTGTAGGAAGGGTGCACCTACGAATATTTTGCAATAATTTTAATTCATTTTACAATTATCGTATGATATTGTAATATGTATTAGAAAACAAAACCAAATATTGTCCCCACTAAATAATTTATAAAACTCCGGACTGAAAATTTAAATTTTGACTCACATTACTTACGTTTTTACTTACTTTACATCACATTTTTCTTCTGATTTTCGTGCCTCTTTGAAACAAAACCAATTTTTTGGCTTATTTATTAGGTAGACATTTTTCGGGATTTGAGTTATTCAAATTAATTAATTTTTATTTGCAGCGACAAGAATTAAGTTTGACACTTTCCTAAAAAAGGCTTCCCTTATTTAATTCTAGATCCAATTCTTTGGTAGCGAATATCTCTGCGGAGTTGACCCACCAATTCTGAAGCCTGTTTCACGAGGAAGAAAAGTTTTTAAATACGTATCGAATTTGCGCGATTTGGAAGAACGTGAAGTCGAAAAACCCATAAAAGTTGTTTTCGACGAACCCGAAGAAAAGAAACCTGTGAAAATAGAATACGATTTCGAAAATGATCCCACTATCACGGAGGAGACGAAACGTCTCTTGATCAGGAAGAGAGAATTGGAACGCGAAAAGATGTTAAGGGAACAACGAGAAAAACGTTACCAGGTTAGATTGTAACATTTGTTTTTATATTTTTATATAACCTCTTTACAATAATAATTAAATTTCACGATGTTATTTATTTTCTTTCTTATGAAAATTATTTAAAAAAAATCATTTTACTTACGACATGATTTTTGATCACCTTTTTCCTTGTAATTTGTATTTATTGAATATTAATTAATATTATTTTTTCATTTACATGTATATTATTACGATTAAAATTGCAGTAAAACGAAATTAGAAAAAGTATTTGCAGAAACTTTATTAATTCCACAAGCTTATCATTTTTTTTGTTTTTCATTTCAGGAAATACTTGATTCGGCTAACGAAATTTTGGAGCTAGAAATCCGGCCCAAGTTCTTGGTGCCTGATACAAATTGTTTTATAGACTATATGCAGGACATGCAAAACATTGCGGCCTGCAGTTTCTTCACGTTAATGGTTCCATTAATAGGTATGTTAATTAAGAAACTTTTATAATCCTAAAATCATTTAATTCTTCACACGTTAATGCATAGAAATCTGGCAAAATCTAAAATTATTATATATTATATTTTTCAAGGCTTCCTTATTATTGTGGTATATCTTAAAAAATAATTTTTAGCTGAAAGTGTGATCAATATAATCATTTAGTGTTCAAAAATAATGATTAAGAATATGCATATTACATTATCTTTAGCTTTAAAAACTTTCTTTTTTCTAACTTCCCTTAGGGTAAGTTATTGTAATCGTCTAAAAATGGAAATGAAAATGTTTGCCTATCTTTCGTTTTAGAGGTTTTGGCATACCTTTTGGCATTCTGAAAAAAATGGATATGTGTGCATGTGTGTGTGTTTTTTGTATAGCGAAGGAAATGCCTTTATGCATTCCAGACCGGTCTTCTGTCTGGGTATGTCGGACTCATACACCGCCCTGGTATAATACCGACCAAAACCTCCGCTTAGCCCTTGCATCTGGTCTCCACGGAAACCGCCGTAAGGCATTACTTTGTGGGGGGAGGATCTAGAATGATATAATTCTTAACTTGTTATAATCAATGTTATAATTGATGTGCATGTGTGTATTTGTGTATGTGTGGATACAATTTTTTGTCGATGAATAGTTTTTGTCAAAGACCGTTCCAGCCGTTTTAGAGATACGGAGCAAAGAATGCAGAAAGTAGAAATTAATAAAAACATTAAATTCATAATGTAGGGGAGAAGGTGACTAGTTTTTGGCAGAGACGGGTTCAGTCATTTCTGACATACGGAGGTTAAAGTGCAAGTAAATGGTGGGCTTTGAGAGAACGAAGCATTCGATTCGAATGATTCAAAAAACATATTGCTTGTGTTGACAAAGTGAAGAAATGATTAGTTTTTGGGGAAGATGAACAATTTTTTTTTGATTTCAACAGTTTTAGGTTAGCAGAGGAAAATATAATCATTTTTCGTTTCATTTATATATTATCATAAATAATATTTATAACATAATATTTAATTTAATTATTAAATTTAATTATTTTTAATTGCCGAGATTTAATTTATTTACATTCTAATATATATATATATATATATATATATTTATATCATAAAATTAATATTCAGATATTTTAATAAATATTATATGAAGTAAAATATTTTAATTTGTTACATTGTGATTTGTTTTGGTTTGCTTTGGTTTTATTTTGTATCCTCGAAAAACAAAGACAAGGGAACGTTTTGGCCCTTATATATATATATATATATATATATGTGTGTGTGTGTGTCTGTGTATTTGTATAAACATACATTTTTTATGATTTTTAGTAGCGTTTTCTTTATTAATGTTTGCAACATCCATGTTACGATACACTGATACTAATAATAACCGATAAGTGCGCGTCGGCTATAAAAAACGAAGATGGAATGTATGTTCCTACATCTACTTATTTTAAATAGGTTTTACAATTATGACTTGTTTATATTATTCAGTTGTTAGCATTTATTTAATTTTCTCAATTTTATATTTCCACGTATATAATTTCATTCGTGTATTGTCACATAATATTATTAATGTATTTGAAGTGGTAAGGCTCACCCTGAACTTCTACTCTGATTTAGTGGTTCATGTAATGTCATTATCTTCATCGCATCCGATTCGGTGTTAATTTTCGCATTTCGATTTGTTCAGCGCATTCTTTCCACTTTGATGATTACGTTTATGACAGTGCTAAAAAGTGACTTGCATTTTACAAAGTTAATTCTTTCTCCTGTCGTAAAATTACCAGCATTTTTAAGTGCGCATCGTCGCTATCCTTTCTTATACAAAGTAATGTTGAAGAAATGATAAAATTTTTCCATTTTTTTTAGAAAAGTTTATCTTTCATTCGCCTATTAAAATCATATACACTGAATATGATTTCTATTACCTTGTATATAATTAGTGCTGCCTTATATATACTTGTTTCAAAATCAAGTCCACTTAACCAGTTAAAAATGTAATTACTACATTTTACTTCTTTGTTAACATAAGTATATATATATATGCAATAAACTACAATCGATTAAACTCGATGAACACGAAACCCCATAGTTTTTCATGAAAAGCAAAAACTATTTTTAAAATAAACAGTGAACTAGTGGTGCATGGCATCGTGCCTTAAGTCTAATTGCTGGAACTTCCCTTACCGTAATGTAATATTCGAAGAATTGTAATATTTTTTTAAATGGATTATTATAAATACTGTAACTTTTATTATTTGTATTTTATAGATAAAATATAATGAAAAATAATAAGATAAAATATAAGAGCTTATAAATTGGACGACAACGTTTATATATTTTCATGAAATGTAAATAATTCAAGCGGAGTTAGAATGAAGGACTAAGAATTAAATTCCAAAGTTAAAATTATTTATTTTAAGTATAATATATAAGTGAGTTTTAGAATTTCAATCTGCTAGAATTAAAATTAAAACCTGAATCATTTTCGATATTTAAAAAAAATGTAAATAAAAAAAATTGCCTTCACTAAAAACTAATTGTTTCTTCAGACAGTCAACGCAAGAAAATCATTCAATTAGGATGCTTCGTTTTCTAAAAACTGTAACGCATGGGCCTGCCTTTGCCAAAAACTAATCGTCTCAAATAGAAATCGAATCATTCAAATCGTTGTTCCCACACAAAACACATACTACACACATACATACACATGGATACGCACACACATACATCCGTTATTTTTAATTGTAAGGTAAGCCAAAATATTCAGAAGTCTTGGAAACGTAAAGATATGCAAAAATTTTCATGAAAAGTTAAAAATATTATTTAAACAGCTAAATCCTAATTCTTATTGATTAAGTAAATTATTTCCACATTTCGGGAAGTTTGAAAGAACTTGTCTTAAGGTGAAATGGCCTTTACAACTACTTATTTTATACAGTTATAGCCTCAAAATATTCTAAACACCTTAAAGTATCAAAATATATGTTTTTTTCGAAAAATCCAATTTAAATAGCAAATGGTCGCTGTTTTAATGACAATACACAAAATTCTGTCACGTTTCTATGACGAGTATATTCGTCAATCACATTTAACTTGGTAAAGCATATCAGAGTGCAGTAGCATTATTTTATCAACTTTTATTTTTTCATTAGTATTTCATATTTCTTCTTACAGTGCTTAATGAGCTCGAGGGACTGTCGCATGGTAACGTACATAACAATAGAGAAGAGGTCGCCATAAAAGCGACTATTGCATTGAAACTGCTTCGCGAAAAGCATCCTCATATAAAATTTTTGACAACTCGCGGCAATATATTAATAAAACCCGCATTCACCGCCGAGGAAACTAAGAAAACTAACGATATTCACAACAACGACGATCGAATATTGGCGTCGGCTCTGAGCCTTTGCAAGCGGGATGTTACGATTGAAACAGAGGCAACGGGCTCGAAGCCGAAAATCACGAGGATCAAGAGGGAGGTCGTTCTGCTCACGATGGATCGGAATCTCCGCGTCAAGGCCCTCGCGGCTGATATGCCGGTGCGACCGCTGCCGGAATTCGTTCAGTGGCTGTTTAGCGATTAATGCACAAACTTATTAGCTTTAAGGATAAGTTGTATGTGAGTACAACTTGATCGCAAGAATGTTTTTTTTTATATTGTAACTCTAAATTCTTGTATATATTTCTATTGCATTAGAAACTATGTAAAATCTTATTGACTGAATCATTTTATGACATTTAGGTTTTTGTACATAATTGATTATTTTAATAAAGGAAATAATACAGAAAATAATCTGTTTTTTTAATCGCAATGCTGAATCATTTTGATAGAGTATCTTCTAAAGATGGATTATATCCGAGGATATGATCTAAAGATGCGTAACTCACTCCGGAGTTATCACTCCGATACAACTCCTCCCTTGGAGTGAATCCGAGTGGAGTTGTTTCACGGAATTTATCATATCCGACTTCCCTAAACTGGTACTAAGTCTGTTAACATGTGCAGATATTTGCTTGAGATTTTTTACTAATACAAAGAATTGGGTCGAAAGATGTGGTCTTTTTCTCGTTTCACAGACAGTTTTAAGATTTTCCGTAATAGAGCTCTTTCAATGGTATACAACCAGCTAAAAATATTTAGTATTATATTATAACTTTTACACAATTATGATTTCATAATTGTGTAAAAGTAATAGTATGCTAATCAAACTACATGATGTGTAATTAATTCTCGAAAAGGAATTAATGAAAGAATGTGAGATATTATTATTTTGTGAAAAATAATATACACAAAGATTTGTTCTTATTTCAAATATAAGGTTTACTGCATTATTCATATAAAAATAAACATATTTAAAGAATTCTATTTTTTCTCTTCAGAAATAATTACAAAATTGATTTTTATTCCTAAGTTTTTTGTTAATTTGAGATTTGTATACTTATTGAAATGCATAAAATAGTAATTATTATAATAAAATGAACAAAAATATTTGAACTATTTGTAAACTATTTCCAAAGTCTTTAAATCTTTAGAGAACACATTTGTGTCAAAGTATTATGTTTCAAAGTTGTCGGAGTTGTGGAGTTGTTAAGTGGATATAACTCCTCTCTGAAGCGGAATCAAATCCTAACCGATCCGGCTTCGGATATGATAAGCCCATCTCTAATATGATCTCTCCCTCGGAGTGAATCCGAGCGAAGTTGTATCGGAGATTTTGTCATATCCGACTTCGCTAAACTGGTACTAAATTTGTTAACCCGTACAGACATTTGCTTTTTTTACTAATACAAAGATTTGAGTCGAATAGAGTAAGAAGCGGTCGCTTTCTCATGTCACAGGCAATTTTATGACATTCTAGGTATAAAATGAATCTAAGTAATGCCATTTTATATTCTGTATATGATAATTCTTACCCGTAAATGACCTCTTTAATGGTATACAACCAGCAAAAAAATATTATTATATTATTACTATGTCCTCTCAAAAATTAAGTGCCACTACAACCAGCTCATTGCTTCTCTAATCATCTCTTCATCATTAAGAAGATTGAAAAGATGCTGGCCAAGCGATCTTAAATGAAACACTAGGCTTCACTCATTGGAGTGAACACTAGTTAATTTTTTTTTCCTTTTTTTTTCTTTATTATAATAATAATAATTATTATTATTTTTATTCATTTATTTATTCATTCATTCATTATTATTATTATTATTATTATTATTATTTTCTCCTTTGTGTCACAATAGCTTATAAGATAAATTGTATCTTGATTGCTATTAATAAATAAATATAAAAAAAAATATTATTACTTTATAATTGCGTAAAAGTAATAGTATGATAATCGAACTACCTGGTAAACAATTAATTCTCGAAAAGGAAATAGGAGAATGTGAGGCATTATTATCTCGTGAAAAATAATATACATAAATTAATAAGCATTCATATAAATATAAAAATATTCAAAAAACTCTATTTTTTCTCTTCAAAAATAACTATGAAATTGATTTTGATTTTCAAGTTTTCCTTTTTTTGGTCAAGATTGCGAAAAATATAAACTTAAATAATATTAATTCGATCGCCTGCCAAAATTTGTACAATCCGACGTTTATTAGTATTTTTTTAAATCAATGTTTTATTGACATTTTTTTATTCATAATGTGTCTGGTCGCCTGATTGCCTTATTGGCCCTTTATAGCTAAAGAATTGCTATAAAGGGCTGATATTTTAATATTTTTATTGTCTTAATTTTGGCATATAATTTGAGTATGCATATTGAAATGCATGAAATAGTAATTTCTTATTCTAATATGAACAAAAATGTTTGAACTTATTAAGTATTTCCAAATACTTAATATATTCTTAGATATATGAACGAGACGCTATAGAACACATAGACTATTAGTTTTTGAAGTTGTCGGAGTCGCGAGTTGTTTAGCAGATGTAACTCCTCTTTGAAGCGGAGTCAAACCTAATCGATCCGGCTTTGGATATGATAAGACCAACTCTAGTATCTTTATTTTATTCTATTTTTATTTTATTGTTTATTTGTATCATCACTTAAACTATACTACAACGGTTTCCAACTTTTCCTAATTTCATAAATATTCAACTGATATTATAATTTATTTAACGAGCAACAAAATAATATGAAAAATAATTACTCATTCATTTATTTTTTATATCAATTTGACTTTTTTAGTTTATATTCCAAAATATTGCATTGCAAAACATTTTGAAACAAGTGCGCGCCTCCTTTGCAACAGCCACGCGTCTTTCACGCCCCATGGGTTGGACAATGCTGGTTTAGAATATCGTCTTTAATGGGATTCATTAGAGAACAAAATTGATATGCTTTTCATTATTTGAGAAAATCCAAACTCCAATGTTCATGGAGTTTTTAAATTTTGTCTTTTACTTGACTTAAGGTTCCATAAGCGTATATAAAAATGTTAAAAATTAACTGACACTGAATGAACGATTGAACGATTGAAAAGTACGGTTGTGCAAAAAAAATCTATGAAATAGAACAAAAAAAGAAATTTAATATACTTAATAAAATACGCATTTCAAACCGATTGGTTTATAATATTTTCTTTATCTTATGTTCACCTCGAGCCATAATGGCATAGTAGATTTGGTATGGAGTATTCAACAATACTGTAAAAAGTAAGTTTCTTAAACCTTTTTATTGAGTTTTATTTTTATTGAGTAATTTCCTAAAATGCATTTTATATTCCAATGTCTCCCTAAAGCATTGCAATAATCATAGTCGACAATTTCGGGTTTTTATTTCTGCGGATTCAAAAAGTAGATTATACTGCTTTTATGTTATGCAATTAGTATTATATCGAAATAATGCTATTTATTTGACGACGACATTTGCATTAAGGCTTCTCCGACCGGCTGGAATTCTTCAATACTTCGTTTTACAATTAAAAAGACAACTAATATCAACACTAATCCGAATCCCACGGTTCTACGCGAATATGTCTGATCATGGTGATAGTTGAACATGTTACTTCCTTTTATCTATAAATAGCAATTATCAATTACTGTCGTATTGCATATAATCCTGCTTTCTGATTTTATTCTTAATTCAACCATCGAAAACTGTAAGACAGAATTACTTTTACATAAATTGAGTTGATTTTTAATTTTATTGTTGCTCATATATTTTGTTCTGTGCCGTAATAAGAACTCGTAATATTGAATCTATTTTTTTATTTTACCAGAAATCAGAAATATGTGTTTTATAATTAGTTTTTGTTGTACATTCCTTAACTTACAACTAGTGTTTTCAGAAGACAACCCAGCTGTTAATCATTCTTATTTCTTTTGAGTTTATAAGTACTGACTTGGACGGAATTGTTGAAAACGGTTTATTTTTAATTTTGATTTTTATTCATTTATTATATTATAGTTTAACTTATTAAGTAGGGGCCCGGCGGTGGCGAAATCGGTTCGAACGTGGGCTAGCACCAATTAGTACCTGGTTCGCTGGTTCGATTTTTGCCATGGCCAAAGCCCAATATTAGGCAGCTTTGGGGGCGTCCATTAATTACGTGAGTATTTTAGGGGGTTGTCAAAAGATCACAAAAAATCACGTGGGGGGAGGTCTAGTAAGATATAACGTCTATTTATTTTTTACCTGAATTTAAAAAAAATCCAAACATTTTCAAAAGATAAATACGATTTTTTCATAAATTCGAAAAATTTTTTTGAAACATTGTACATAACTAAAAATTCACGTGATGTTTGTTGCAGGAAGGCGGATAATTTTAAATCACGACGTATTACCAAGAGGGAGGGGGAGGGTGTGTTTCACAAAAATCTATAAAAAATCGAATACGTGATTAATAGACGCCCCCTTCTTGTCAAATGTTTACTTGAGGTTATAGATATTAATGTAATTTCAAGTGGAAATCATCGTGGACATAGCTGCAACATTCAATCTAACTATAGGCTTATTAACTATTAGGACTGATTATTAGACTTTTATTATATAGACTTATTAATTATTAGACGTAAGAGCTTTAATATTAGATTAAAACGCCACACATAAGAGAATGGTAAACCGATGGGTTGCCTCTCATGAAACATTAGGTTAAGTCTTCAAGAAACAGCTTATACCTTATAGGACATGTAAGGTTAAAGTTTTGATTACTATTGAAACGATAAATAAAAAGAGTTTTTTTTCTTATTTTATACATTTAAAGTTACTTCATAATTTGGTTTGATTTTATTTTAAAACTGACAAATTTTAACGATTTTAAGTATAAAAAAATCTTATATATATGTATATATATACAGTATATGTATATATTTATATAATATTAATAATGATTATGAAACAGGTTTGATAATACTTTGTAGTTTCCTGCCTTATCTTCTTAGTTTCTTACAGACAGAGGAAACAATTTCAATTTTTTAATTGATGTGTTTTTACACCAATCTCTATCCTGAACAAGGCTACCAAACGAATAATTATTAGCTTGTACCTGTACCTGTACTTTTATGCTGACTTTCTGAAAAACTAATGTATCTTGAGTGATTGAAATCCGTTGATTCTTTCTCTAAAATACTTAGCAGTATTTTTTTAATACTTGCGAAAGTAGAACTTGCAGTAACATAT